GTGGAGGATAACGACCCTGCCGCCTCCTCCAGGCCGTTATCTGTGCGGGCTGTGGCGCCGAGGGGAGGCGGGGGGTCTGCGCTACCCCGGCCCTCGGGGCGAGGCCGCCATTTTGTCCAGAGCGCCTTGGGGGGCTTGGGCCGAGGGGCTGCTGCTCGGCCTGGTTCCCTCGTCTCAGCCGGCTTGTGACAGCGCCCGGAGAGCTGGCGTGAGGGTTAGGGGCAGGTGGTTTTAGTTTTCTATCACACTGAGGGGTACCTGCTGCCCCTGGGGGTTTCTAGGCTGCTGGCACTGACCACCTTCACCCACTGTCTGGTTTTCCTCTTCCTTCTCTGAGCTTGCCTGGGTGGACCCGCAAAGCTCACGTCTCTCCCTGTACACGTGTTCAGGTTGCTTTGTACCAAACGCTCGAAGCAGCCTTCAGAATCTTGCTGTTGCTGTGCAAGCGGTTGCCTTGATCCAAGAAATGTCTAAGGAGGCAGCTGTGAGCAGAGAAGGAGGGCTTGGCTTCTTGCTTGTGCACCTTCAGCAGCTCAGGTGTTCCTGACTCCATATGTATGATGTTCCTAGTCAGTTAAAATCCCTTCTGTTTAAGGTTCTCTTTATCTAAAATGGGGACAAAGTGATGTTCGGTCTGGTCTCTTGCCGTTTGAACAATGGGAAGAAAGGACTGGGTTGTCAACTCCCTAATTGTTACTGTGAAGTCCTGTTTTTTCTCTCCAAACTTTGTTTTTGTTTCATGTCTTTTCGTCAGTCCCAAGTTGTTGTCACGCCTCTGCTATGTGTTTTAAAAATAGAGACCACCATTTAGTTATTCTTGGAGAAATATTCCTGTAGGTGATATAAACCCCAGGTGTCAATCTCTTTCTCTGCTGGAGGTACAAGGTATATGCACCAGACTTTGAAATGTATTTTGTGATGTAAGCATGCACCGGTGTTTGCGTGAAAGTAAGAATAAGTAAAAAGCCTTCTCAAATCAGAGTACTAAACTGAAAATCCTGTTCTTGATTTGAAGCAGAGGGTGAGTGACAGAACAGATGACATGTGAAAATATTTGCTTTTTCTCATCAGTGACATGAGCTCAGAGGCAGTGAGGAGGATGGTGGAGAAGGGAATTACATAGAACACAGAGAGCTTCCGCCTCGCTCAGTTCTTGACCCTCCCTGTCAGGATATTTCATGTCATTTAACAGCAGTGGAAACTGTTGCAGCTTAACAAGATCAAGTTGTTATTATAGTTACACAGTTTCCTGCTTCTGTCTGTTTCCCCTGCAACAATTAGTTCTCTTAATCCTGTAAAAAGGCAAAATAGAAGGTCTCAGAAGCAGCCTGGTGTTTCCTTGTGCCTCCATGAAGATTCTCCCATCTGACTGGTGGTGTAGAGTTCCTTCTTGATTAACAATTGTTTGAGAAAGAAACATTGAGGCAGAAAGCAAGCCCTTTATTTTGGCATTGCATTAACATGTATCAAACGTAGAACAGAGTGAAATGAAGTTATTTTAAATATTTTTCCTCCTGAATTAACCACATTTCTCTGTGGGCACATACAACTGAAATGCTGCCAACAGTGTGCTCAGACTTTCCTCTTTCCAGAGGCAGACACATGGTTTGGGTTTTACTATTCTACATTCTATTCTTAAGAAATACTCACACTTTTCTTCTTTTGTAAAGTAGCAAAAATTACAGATTTGCACATTCTGAGACAATCAGTGGGTTTTCCTGTTTTGGAAATGTATATCTCAGCTAGGAAAATATAATGCTTCTTTATGATTCTGTTGTCTATTTTAATTATTTCTCTTACTGGGTTCTTTCTGACCTGTCTTCTACAATACAGTCTCACTTAGTCTATTCAGTCTTTTAGTGTAACACAGTTAGTGCTTTCTGTTAAACTTGGTTAGACCTCTTCACCTATTTTTGTCCTCAGCCAGCTACTTCATTCCCTATCTTGCAAGTCTTTTATTCATACTTGTGGCTGAAGCTGCAGAAAACTGCATTATCAGAAGTTTGTACAATATTTTTTTTCTTTTTCTTCCCCCCCCCCCCCCATAGAAACTTCTATAAATCAAAAAGTGATGTCATTTGTCAGAAAATCACTGCTGACACAGCAGATCAGAATTTTGCTTGTGTTTGTCTTTTGCTCATTTTAATAAGGTGACACTTAGTTTTTTTTATTTTAAATTATTTTTGTTCTGTTTCTTATTCCAAAGACTTTTGTTATCTCTAGTGCTGCTTTCCTCCTACTGTGTTAGCAATACACAACCATCCCTTTATTATCTATCAGGATATAATTCTTCCTGTAGTTTACAGCTGATTGTTTTTGCAGGCTTCTTCACTCTCAAAATGAGACTTTTCTTGTCTCAGATGTTTGAACATCCCCATACTGACCGTATTGCATTCTCTGCTGTTGCTTTCTTAGCAGTACCCTGTTCTGATGACAGCCTTTATTTTGAACTCTAGTTCTTTTCACTCTGGGTTTCATTCTATAGTGTTTTCCTTCTCCCATAACTGAAATGTCCTATCCAGGCACACCCTTTTCCCCCATGCCATCCAGGCACATCTGGCTTAGTGTGCATGTGAGGTGAGGGGTTTTTTTCATTTTTCCTTTGTAGAGTACAAGGACGAGGAGGACACATTGCTGAATACTGTGCACTTTGTGGTAGATGATGAAGACATCGGCGGGTACGATACAGGGAGCAGTGTGCTATCTGCATTCCAAAGCACAGCTATAAAGGAAAATGTTGAGGATGCCTTGGGAGCAGAAGACAAGTTCAGCCTTTTAAGGGAGGAGGAGGAAGATGGAAGATACTGCACCCTGCAAGCAACGGGGTCAACTTTCAGAGACTCAGAGGCCTTTGACGACCAGCTCGACCCTGCCTCAGTGTGCGGGCAGCTGTCAGATTTCCTCAGTGACATGAAGGCTCTGACCCCCCTTTCTGTGGTTGATTTTGCAAGGGAGCCCACAGACCAGTCATGGTCATATGAAGAGTGTGAAGATTATTACTCTGATGGGATTGAAAATGAGGCAAAGAAGAAAAGAAGTACTGACAGAAGTGGGATGTGCACCGAGAAAGCATTTAGTGGAATCCCTGGAGATCTCTGCAAGCAAGATGTGTGTGGCCCAGCTACTCACCAATCATCCAAATGTGCCTCAACCAGCGCTGCTGCTCAGCAATCCTACCGAGTGTCTTCAGTCCTGGAATCCGGGAGTAGCCATGATGTGACCAAGGGGAAAAAATTGTTTCTCGAGAATCCAGAAATTCTACAACCAGCCAGGAAGAAGTCGCGCACCTTCTATAGTGCAGGTAGATAATGGGGGACTCTCTGGCAGACAGTGGCACCTGTAGGTGCTGATGTTTCCTTTATCGTCCTGAAGACACAGCATGGGGGAGCTGAACTGCTCTAACTGGTATTGCAATGTGTTCCACACAATTAGATGTGTGAAAACTTCTTCAGATAAAGTTTGCCAAGTATCACTAGTGATGTTGTTAATTTTACTGTGCAAGGAGATTTTTGTTTATTTTTGTGGTTTACTTTTAAACATAAAAATATTTTATGTTGTTCATATATTTCTAAGTATGCTAAAAATGGCTTTGTTTTTCTCCTGTCTTGTTTCCTTTGGGTTATTTTGGTTTTGTTTTCTTGTCATGTACCCCCCACCTCTCTCTCTTTGAACAATGCATGGTTTCTAGATCAGCTAGAAGAGTTGGAGAAGATGTTCCAAGAAGACCGCTACCCTGACAGTGAGAAGAGGAAGGAGATTGCTGCTGTGATTGGTGTAACGCCACAACGTATCATGGTAATGCCTGTGTGGGCAGTGGTGCTGACTGTGGGTTCTGTGCAGAAAAATGTCAGGGAGAGGGCCTGGGCAGGGAGGAGGAGTTTGTGTAGGAAGAAAAGATAAGCTTGTGAGTAATGGGATAGAGCCTGCCCCTGCCACTGGTGACAAGAGAGCCCATGGGGATGGACACTGCACAACAAACTACCTCACCCACGAGGGCAGTGGAGTCTGTGGTTGTGTGCTCCATCTCTTCCCATTTCCTAAGATGAGATGCTTAATGGGTAGGTGAAAGAGGCTAAGGAGGTTGGAGTTAATATCTTTATCTTGAAGATTGTGGGCAACAAACCAAACTGGTGTTTGGGGGTATCTTTCTGCTGTCACTCATCTCTTTCTGGTTACAATGAATCTTGAGGATTCTCAGGAATGAAGGTTTCTCGAGGTTCCTTTCTCTGGAAGAAAGGTTTCTGGCATCACCTGGTGATGTTGGAGACAGCCATTGCTGATTTGTTGCCTGTGTCCCCATGCGTAGATGGTTTCCTCTCTGAATACATCCTTTCTTTCTGTTTATCAGGTCTGGTTTCAGAATCGCAGGGCAAAGTGGCGAAAATCGGAGAAGTTACGTGTGAAAGGCAACAAAAAATATCCAAGGTCATCAACTCTGTCAGTCCCCTGTGGGTCAGACGGTTATGGGTGAGAGACTTTGTCTTCTAATTTCTCCACAATACCTCATGCATTAAATATTTTCTTTTGCCATTTCCCCTTTACATTTAAGCTATGGAGAGCCACTGTTGAGTTGGACCTCAGTAGCCTGTCCTCTGTATTCTCCAGCCTGACTGATTTCTGGGAAAATTGTACTGGGCCCTCTTAAGAGCATTTTTGATTAACCTGTAGCACTGTTTTAAACAAAACTGTTGAAATCCCTCTTGCTGAAGTTGTGTAGAGAGCAGAGAATGAGACAGAAAAGGTCTGTGAAATCACCCCTTCACTTTTAGTTTCTGTGAATGCATTGGCCAGGCACTTTGTGTGCACTTGGGAATTCTTTTATCAGAGTCCTTCTCCCACTATCGCTTTCCATTTCCATGGATTTTCACTTGGTGATGGAAATGCTGCTTGTGTAGATCAGTCTTACAGAGTCACGAGCTTTTCTGAAGAAATACAAGCTAGCACCTTTCATGGGTGAGCCGGGGATGTTTCTTGGGGGGTGGGAGAAGGGACTATGTGGAAGGATAGGTGGTCTTTCAAGAGGGAGGGAGGGAGTCTCCACAGGGAGGTATTTATACCAATCTGGAAGGAGGGTCTTCCTGTGAAGAAAACAGAATGAAAAAAAGAAAAAATTAAGTGAAAGATTGGAGACCACCTGCCTGATTTCTGCGCTAGTCACCTGGGGCCACTTCCCCACATCCTGTTGATACAACATCCCTTGCACTGTTCCTGCTTGCACTCACAAGTCAGCCAGTGCTTTCCCTTTCCACCCACTAGTGATCTAGATTTTTCCCATCATAAGATAGATAGAACACTGAGTATATTTTGTCTTAATGTCTCGTCTGTCCTCCGGTCTGTGCTCATACCCTTTGTGTATACCTTCAGGGCGCCTCCACTGCCTGACAATGCTCACGACCCGTCTGCCACGCTGAGTGTAGACAGTACAGCTGGGAACTACTCCAGCCTGCTCAGTGGACCTTCTTCACCACTCACCACCTCCTCCTCAGGTGAGACCCCCATCAGTACAAGCATTTTGCATAGCTGCAGCAGCAACTGGGGGGTGCTGATAGGTTCCCAAACAATTCAGGGAAGGTGATATGAGAGCCCCATGCTGTCAGTGCAAGAACTGGTGCCAGGTTTAACAGCTCTCTGCTAGCTGAGTATCTACAAGCTACGTACCAGCACAGTGATGCCTCTGTGCTAATGCCAGAGACAAATTTGCAGTCCTCATTCACGTCCTGGTACAAGCCAGCAATATGACTTCATAAGGATATGTGATTGGGGCATTCTTCTGTTATAGGTGTTTGACACTGCTCCTCTGAATGATGATGATGATGAAAACATTATTCTGGCTGTTATGCTCTTCATGGCAGATACACACATCCCATATTCTGTTTTAGACTGTAACATTCTGGCTACAACCTGTAGTCCAGTGATCTGTATGAGGCAGGTGCATTGTATCACTCGGGGTTGTAGAGCCTCCCTCAGGTACTCCGTGCCTTTCAATCTCCAAAGGAGGTTCCTTTACTTCTCCAGCCAGTGCAATTTTCCATTTTGTGCAAGACCTTGAGGGAGCGAGATTAGCTGAGTTCTTAAGCATGCTGCCTAATTTAATTGCTATTGCAGTGTTGTTGAAAGTCAGTGGGGTGTGCTCTTGGACCAGCGTTCTACCTGAGATCCACTTAGACTTTAAAGATTAATGGCAACAAGAAAGAGAGGATTTGTTCAACTGTGTATTCACGTGTGGAGTATCAGAGCATTCCCTAGAGTCAGGAATGTTCCCCGAAGCACTTCCTATATATGTTTACTTTTCCAAGTTGGCACAACTTGAAAACATTTCCAAAATGTTGAGGATTTCACTTCTTCCTTGAGGATGGATATCCCAAGCAATAGATGTGCTGACATGTGGTACTACTGTGCCTATTTTCCTGCTTCCCAGTGTAATTAATTCTTCTGAATTTCATGCCGCCATTTCTGCCCCGTCATTTTATTCTAAATATATACAGGGTTATCAGTATTAAGTGCAGTTCTGTGCAAGTCATTTTCTAATAATGACCCAAAGCCTTTAACATATTTTTAATAGTGTTGACACCTTAAAAGTATTTTGACTTTGTAGAAAGCAACCATGAGATTGTATCAATAAGTTTAGAATACTAACAAATAGATATGTATACTTAAAGTACTTAATTGAGATACTTTCTTGATGCTGTCATTTCTGTCATTGAAATTTGCCTGTCACAGTCTCAAGGAAAGGACTACAGTAGTCAATTTTATGAGCTGTTCAACCAATATGGCTGTAATTCAGTTCGTTCCAGTTTTTCCACTTCTTCCTGCAGTGGAGTAAATTTGGTGAAAGTGTTTGAATGATTCTCTGCTTCCCAGAATGATGAAGTGGTGCAGTCAGTTGAGTCCTGTATTTAATTAAATAAAGACCAAGATTTTGCAAAATAATTAATTTAAAGGAACCAAAGCAAACATCCTCATAATACACTTGTATTCAAAACTCTCCTGGTTCATAAAGTACATCTGCAGTCATGTTATTTAGTCAAGAGAGAGCGTGGCTGTTAGAGAAATAGTTTCATTCAGAGATGTGATCTTGTCATCTGTCTGTATTGAGCAATTTATTTCTGGGGAATCTGCACACTGGGATGCAATCTTTCTGATAGGAAAGAAAAGTCCTGTCCGAATTCTTTGTGCAATGTGTAAGGAAGAAAAAGGGCAAACGAATTTCCCTGAGAGTGGACTGGGTATGTGAGAAAATGAGTGATAAAGATAGCTTGGTTTTTACTCCTTGAATCCTTTGAACTTGCTGCTGACCATTGCCTTTACTGTGTATGCATCTAGCTTTTATGAAACACATGCTTAATCTGCTTGTCTGAAGCCCTCATATCTTCAGTGTTAAGGACGTGTGAAGATGAGAATGTGCTCCACTCTCTAGATCTGTGGGAGGGAACAAGCTTCCCCTTGTTCTCTTTAAGTCATGCTGGGCAAGAAGTAATGAAATCTATTTGTGTCATCTAAGACTGGTAAATACTTTCCAGATACAGATCTGTTGGGGGAAAATAATACCTTTTCTAAATCACTTTTCAGAAAAGAGGTGTGTTTTGCTAATGCAGACAAACTGTGAGATTTAGTGATTGATTTTTAACCTGGTGTCCTGAGGGAAGGGAGGAATGTGTTGTATGTAATGAGCCACACACTCTCTTTGTTTATGAAATCCATCCTGCCACCCAAATTTGTTTAATCAAATTTGACGGAAGTTGGAAGTCCTAAAAATTATGTTCCTACAAGTCATGGGAGAATTGGTGCTTGGGCAGAGTAGAGACCTAAGTCAGTGCTCCCTCTGAGGGAAAAGACTTACTAGGTGTAGAGAGTCCTCACAGAAGGGAGCTCTGCATGGCACAGTCACATGAAAAGCTCCAGTCGTAGTTTTGCCTTACTAGATGTGGGATTACACAGCCATGGGGAATGAAACTTGCTTTTTTTTTTGTTATCTAGCATTGCATAGGCAGACTTATCTCTCTAAGAATGAAAGCAGAAAATGAAATGGGGAAAAAAATGAAAGACAATGTGACTTTTGAATTCATTCAGCCTCCTTGTTCAGGAAAAAAAAAAAAAGCTTGTCGATAAATAGGGCCATCCAGGGTCTACCTGTTTTCTTTTATTAGAATATCTCAGAAAATGAAACTTGGATAGGATAGAATCCAAAGTAACAGAAGCAAAATAAGAGGGAACAAATGAAAAAAAGATCATTGATTTACAAGGCAAAACTAATTGCTCAGTAAAAGGAGCCCTCATGGAAACAGCTCATGGCAGGTTTCAGCAAAACAATCCGTGTCCTGAGCTGCACCCAGAGCCCATGGCCTCGTCGAGTGGCTCTTCAGGTGCTTTCCTTGGTAGCAGCGTGTTTGACCACTTTCAGCAGGACAAGTGAATGACTTAAAGTGCATGAGAACTGTACGATCTGTTACCTGACACCTCTGGAGAGGGTTCAGTGCCACCTTTGCCATTGCTTTTCCTTGCTCTAGCCAGTAGTTCTGTCTGTCGGTTTGTTTGGGGGATATTTATGTCCTACTGTTTTGTACAGTTCTCCAAACAAGCTGATTAAGAATGCCAGCAAGTTGTATTTGAGATGTTCTCTACCTTGCTGGCAGTTATGGCTTCTGATTTTGGTATTAGCTACACAGCTTGCCGTAAGAGACTTCTGTGCTTCAAAAATTCAATCGAGCTTGCTTTGATCTTAGAATTATTAATTTTTTTTTCACTACTTTTCCTAGACAGGTAGCTTGCTTTAAATTAATTGAGGTTTGGTTTTTTTTTTTTTTTTTACATTTGTGTTTATCTGAACTTTTCCTTTTTTTGGTCTCAGTTTTCTTGCAGACATATATATCTGTGGTTCATTGACTTAAAACACTGGCTTATGTTTTCTTCAGAGTTGATCCTTTAGAAAGAAAAGTTACTTTCTATGCCCCTGGCTTGCAGGAGATGATTCTCCAGCCCCACTGGTACTTCTGCAGGAAATAATTTTGTTTCATGTGGCTATTTTGCTGAGGACAGCTGTCAGGAGCCCAGCCTATGCTGGTATCTCTTATGCAGATAGCAAGATGATTATTCAGTGGCAGAGGTGGGATTGAAATAGAAGTCTTGGGAGCAAAAGCTAGGTGTGATCTGTCAAAGAGCAGTAAATGAATGACAAGCTCTAATGACTTCACTTATAGGATTCTAGCTTTTGAACCAATTACTTTAAAGCTGATGATGTGTAGCTGACACGGCAAGCAAGAGTCAACCTTTTAAACAAGTGGTAGGTTCTGGGCTCCTGAAAATCCAGAAGAGGATCTGACTGATGGATTTCTCAAAGCAATTCAGTTAAAGACTGAAGTTGGTTTACTGATCTTCAGTCCGTTAAATGAAGAATGCTGCTGCTCCTAAACTTGGTTAATATTTTGTCTGCTTTCAAGATGTCATTTACAAGAGAAATGTATTTCTCATAATTTCAAGAAGAGGATGTATCTATGAAAGCTTTGTGATGACCCTTAATGTTCCAGTAAATGCTGCAATTACATAGGCATGTTTCATTAAAAGAAACTGGCTTGGATAGTGTATGATGTAGAGACTCATAATAATAGAGCCTTTTGCTGCACTCTTGATTTGATGCTTGAGAAAGCAGCGCTAGCAAGTAGACCATCTGAGGTTAGACTGGTTGCTCAGCCTGTAAACAACATCAGCTGCGTCATGCCCAATACTGGGCTTGTTCAACAGTTGCAATCACTGTCTCTGGCCTCCCAAACAGTCTGCGAGCAGCTGCACAGTTAACTGCAGAATCATTGCAGGCTCTCATGCCAAGGCTTTTTAGAATCAAGACAATGAGTGCTTGACTAAGAAAGTCATGTGTGGCTGATGGCGAGAGGAAGGGCTGCAATGCAGATAGGTCTTACTTGGGTAAAAAATCTTGTGCACGCCACCTGGTCTGTTAACATCAGTGAAAGCAGCTTCCTAGAACATAGTCTCACAGTTCCAACCTTGAAGCTGATGGACACCTCTCTAGGATAGGCCTCAGCCTCCTTCAAGCCTGGTGAAAGACCAAAGTTACAGTCATCCTGACAGAAATATGCACATCCATTCTTGTTAATTTAAGACTGTCCCATTCATTGGAAGCTATTTGCATTAAAGAATGGGTCTCTTAACTCTTGCTAGGACGTTGAGGAAGCAGCTACAGTAGGGGGAAGACAGTTGTGTAGCTGAAGACACAGAATAGCCATTCTTGAGTTAAGGAGTTAAGACAAGTGTAGCTCCAGGACTACTTCAGAGATCTGAAGTTGCAAATTACTAAATTGCTCTCCAGAAATTCCAAAGGTTGTCTCATGGACTGAAAACCCAGAAATAATGGGTGTAATAAACAAAATTCCTATAGTTACATTCCCATGTTCACTGGAAAGCCTTCTGAGGTTATCTGTCTCTCTACATCAATGTCAGGAAGAGCAATAGAATTGTAAAATGTAAGTATTATCTCAAATCGGTGATCAGAATTCATCATCAAACAAGATGCTGGAGTGTCTCTAAATATAGTCTCACATCTAGCAGATATTACTACTCTGGGAATTGTTTGTTCTTACTGCATTTGTGACTTTATTCAGAAGATACGAATTCAGTGACTTTCTTTGAAAGTATAGAGAAATAGAGGAAACTTTAGAAAAGGCTGAACCAGCTCTTTGGAGGCTGAGTATGCTCTCTTGATGATCTCATTGCCTGTGAGTCCCATTGCCCTGATCCACAAAGATTATCTGCACTAAATGTTGCAAATATTTCAAACCCCAGAACTGAATTCTTAGTAGGTGTGAAAGTGGGTTTAGAAGTGATTTCCTGGGCTATGTTTTTAATACTGTATTCATCCTGAGCAAGGCCAAGGCCATCTGTAGACTAGCTAATCCTGCTGTCATTATTGAACTGAAGCTTTATCTAGATATAGACTGATTTTTGGGTAAGTTGTGCCCCACATGGCTGCTGTTTCATAATGTTTGTGTGATCTGCTACATTCTGGGACAGAATGGTTAAGAGAACTGGTGCAAATGAAGGTTTAAAAAAAAAAAAAAAAAAGCCCCAAACCCAGAAGAGATCTTCAGCTTCATTTCTGGCTAATCCATTTTGACTTGTGAGGAAACTAAATGTCATCCTGACTAGTGCTTTGTTGTGTGGGACTAGATCTGTGCTGTGTCAAAACCCGGGAATGTGACTGCTGCATCATACATGCTGCCTGACATAGAGAAATAATGTGTTCAAATAGAAAAAATAGCCTGGGCATGTGAATCTTTTAGAGATGCCATCCTAGATCTTGCTCTAGTTTTCTAAATGAGCCCCAAATCAGGGCTATTCAACTTTTCACTGAAGTGCCATGACTCCCTCTCTCCATAGTTTCCAAATTGAAAAAAAATTGATGTGGGAAGAAGATGCAGTAAGGTAGATGCAATTGCACAGCATGCTGGGGAGTCTGAGAAATGGTGCTTCAAGATGCTGAAGCAGAATCTCCTTACCAGCTCTCTGGGCACACGTTCAGAAATTCTCTAAAGGTTGCTCATGCTTGCTGTGGCAGCTTTGTGTTTAGGTTTTTAAGCTTAAGGCCTTCGGTTCACACCTGGTGGAGTACATTTGGTGTTACTCTGTGTGCCTGCAAGGGTGCAGTACAGCTGTGAAGTGTCCATGCTACTAGCTTTCCCTGAATGCTTTACAATGTGTGGGAGTGGAATGACTTTAACTGAAGAGTCAGTGGTATTTTCTCATATCTACCTCATCCTTGTACTGGTTCAGCCTAGCTAGACTTGAAAAATCATTTCACGTTGTGTCTTGCATACCTGATGGTTACATTTCTCAAGAGAGAAATAATTTGCTATTTGGCTCAATAAAAGAGAATCTCGTTCTCTTGCACCACGCGCAAACTTCTTGAACTTCTGTGTGTACTTGTTGCTCTGGATCACCAGCATATGTGATTTTGACCTTCTCGTTTCCTATATTGTCCTCTTTCCACAGAGGCTGCTCTGTAGGAAACTGTTCCTCTCTCTTTTCCATCAATGGGTCACCAGGAGTCGGGTCACCAAACAAGATTCTAGCAACCAAAAGGTGTTGGTTTTCTTTTGCATCTCCCAGCTTCTTTTTCCCAAGACCCTTCAGCCGACACTTCTTTTTTAATTTTTTTTTTTTTCATTACTCATCAGAGGCCTAACCATGAGTGAAAATTTGGTTAAAAAATGGCCTAGACATCTTATCTCTAAAGGCACATTTTTGTTTCTTTCAAAGCACAGTTTAATTTTTCAAAAGGGTGATCTGTGCAGTACACTCTTCCCGGAGGACAGTAGAGATGGAAGATGGCTGGGGGATTGTTCCTGGCTTTTTTCCAGGAAGTACTTTGCTTCATTTGGCTACCTTCTTGAGAGCTGAATAAATCCACTATGCAGAGACTGAAATCATGAAGGTAATTTTATTTCACCAATAAACATCATCCTCTGTTCCAGAGAGCTTGCTACTACTCCCTTTTGCTTCCCAGCAGCAATGCTGGTACTTATTTACTTTTATTCCCATCAGTTAACCTCCGCTCTTCCACTGACATCTTGCTTGCCTGTTGTGCCACTCTTGTCATTCCATCTGCTTCCTCCTCCTTATTTTCAGTATGACAGCACAGTTTGACAGTCTCTCTTTTTATTCACAGCCTCTTCAGTGGCAGGAATGGTGGCATCTTGTGAAGCAGTTCCGACAAAGGCGTTACCACCGCTCAGCTTCAGTTCCAGCAGGATGGAGCCCTTCCCCAGCTTCCCCAGCCCTCCACCCATCCGCAGGGCCAGCCTGCCCCTCGGTCTGTCCTTCAACAACCAGCCTTACATCGTTCCCCTGGTTCTGGACACTCACAACAGTGAATGCAGCTTGTCCAGACAGGAAAATGGCTTCAGGGAGGCCTATGCTTACAGCATCCAGAATCAAGGGTAGGAACGGATGAGATTGTCTTTGAGGGAGATGAAAAAAATGAACCCTGGGAGAAGCCTTGGGAGGGTGAAGGGGGAACACAAGGCAAGGAAATGGGTGGGAACGTAAGTGAAAAGTTAGACATGAAGGTGAGAATGTCCTTTAAACAGAGTATGAAAAGGTGTATAATGCCCGTAGTAAGAGGGGGCACCTGCTATCAGAAAAGTGATACCTTTAATCAGAGCGCTTTCAGAATTGCATGCCTGTCAAGCGACAGTGGGGTTCAGTGAAAAGGAATCCTTGAGAGAGGACGTTTTAAGCATTGGGGTGTGCTTTGCAGAGCAGGAAAAACTAAAGGAATGGTAATCGCCACTAACGAGCATCGTTAAGGAATCCTGCTGTGAAAGCACTTGGCTCAAGTGGTTCCTGTCACCCTTGTCCCATGCCTGGCGTTTGGGAGGAGGAGGGCTTGGGGTCAGATCATCAGGGTTGGAGCAGCTGTCAAGGGGAAGATGTAACAGTTGTTTACTGTACAGGTTGCTGTAGCTGTTGACCCTACTTTGATCTCTGAATCTCTCCTCTCTCTACAGCTTGAGTTCACCAGTTTCCTGCAATTACCTTGAGCAGCTGGAGGCACCAAGCAACCTAGAGACCGCCTACTGTCATTGCAGCAGTCAGGCTGGAATTTACCAGCTGCCCCACTATCCCCAGCAGCACCAGCTCTCTCAGTTCCACCATCTGCCAGGCCACCTGGCCAGCAACGTCCTCTCCAGTGTCCGCCTCACTCCCACGACACCCCCCGAGTCCCAGGCGGCTTTCCTCGCCGCCCCTGCTAACAGCAGAGTCATGACCTATGGGGCAGCAGGAGCCACACAAGACTACGCACAGAACCCCGTGGGGGAACAGCTCTTGTTACATCAGCCGAGCGGACACTCGGGTAAATCCCTGAGAGCTTTTGGTACCCCAGACCTCTGAAGTAACTAAACAACACCCTGAAAAATGCAGTGGTTTTACCGAGGACTGTCATAGAAAGAAGGAACGTGCAGATACTCGCACAAATATATATATATATGCTGCCCATCTTTTTAATTTCCCCTGTATTTTTTTTTTTTTAAGTGCTGAGCGACCCATGAATTTGAATCACAAGTTACTATGTAGGCTGCATATCAGAGTGTTACTGCGTAAATATGTCAGGTGGTGCAATGGTTTTGTCTGGAATGGAGAGATAAGTTCTGGGTTTTTTTTTTTACTTAGAAGTGTACTGTTGTGCAAACTAACGTGCCTTTGGTGCGTGTGCAAAGTGAAAAAGCTGCCCCAGCAGATGGAATAGTTAGAGGCAGAAAGAAAATCAGGCTTCTAACTGCTGGGCTTCTGCAGAAACCACTTTGAAACAGTGTTACATATCTTGGAGTAGCACAAAAAAAAAGGCAATTAGGGACAGGGCCAACAAAAGTATGATTTCTTTCTTTTTCTTCCTCTGACATGAATTTGCAACATGACTTTGATTAAAGCACTTCAGCATAATTTTCTAAAACGTAACTAGGTAAAATGGCATTGTCGGTCTTGTTTTGTGTTAGGGATTTGTATTTTGAAGTTGTTAAAGCCTGAGCGCAACCAAAAGATAAACTATTTCAGTTTATTTGCTCAGACTGTCGAGTTTGTTAAATTAAGTCAAATTAAATTAAAGAGCCTTCAGACCATAGATGCTGCTCCTGGTTTTGTACAGTTTTTGTGGAACTTGTCAGGGAGAGAAGCCTGACTCACAGGCTGAGGGGTGCAAGCTGGCTCATGTTCACACTGTTCGTGGATAACATCCTCCAAAACAAGGTTGGCAGCACGCTTGGCCTGGCTCTCCTCTGTGGTTGCAAGGCACAATTATTATTTTCTGTGTTTTGTCAGTCTGAAGTGTCAGAAGTAATGAGAGGGCTGTGTCCCAGTGCACCAAATTAATGTTTTTATAGCGTGATGCCAGAAGTGTGTGTTGCGTGCCTTGGGGTACGTCATGTGAGTGTAAAGGTACAAGCCATGTTAGGACTGATAAAGTTGGAGGATTGTTGAAGGAACAGAGGTAGAGTTGATGTTTTATTCCATACTTCTGCCTGGAGCACAACCAGCAGTGTGTGGCTCTTCTGTTCAAGGAGGGGATCCTGTGACTGTTCCAGTGTGGACAACCAGGGCCTGGGGTTCCAGCAGTGCAGTGGGGAGGGAACCAGCCTGTCAGTTAGGCACACCCATAATTCCTACTTCAGCATGTAAGCAAGTGAGCAGTTTAGCTGAACGATAGATATTAATTAAAACATATTCCTACTTCCTGGGTTACCACTTTTTATAAATGAAAGTGAAGATTAAGCAGCCAATTTACGGTTTGCAGAAATAACTTGGAAAATAGGAATGGAGGAAAAAAAAAATCAGCAGAGTGTGTCTCTGATATCATCACATACACTCAGGATGTGTGCTGAAGCGACATTATGTTTTTTTAGGTTATAACAATGCTCTGCACTTCCTAATAACAATGTTTTGGATAAATACACTGCAATGTAAATAGCGGAGTTAACCTTCCTATATGTGCAGTGTCTGCTCTGCTGAAGTAACCATTTGGGTGTAATAATAATACCGTATTTGCACTGAGTGTGCTCTCTTAAGCACAACATATGCATTTTTACACGTACATAGCTTTAATCCTCCTTTCCTTATTTTCATGATTTTTGTCCTTTCTTTGTTGCTTTTTCCTCAGCAGGCATCCCTGCCTATCAGGCTGTCCCCTGGAATGATTTCTATGTGCAAGAAGCTCCATTCTCGAATCAGCTGTGCTCACAAATGCCATTTTCTAGCACAGTGGGAGGACAATACTTCACAGAGCAGATGTGCTACACTGAGCCACCTTGCCTGCCCTCTTCTCCATGTTTTCTTCAAGTGCCCAATGGAACAACACTGGGATCCATGCCACATACTGGAAAACAAAAGGGAGTGACACCACCAGACCAGAGTTCATACCAGAATTTCCAAATAGAGACAGAGTTGACATCGTTTGCTGAAAGAGAGGAAGCAGAGGACACAGGCAAGAAAGAAGAGACTATTATTAGTAACTGAAAGGCCAGCTGATTTTTTTTTTTTTTTTTTTTTTTTTTTTTTTTTTGAGAAGGGAGGGATAAGGAAAGAGTTCCAAGACAGCAGTAGCTCCTCTGAATTCAGGATCAAAACTGTGGCACGAATGGGAATGGAACTTTATTTTTTTCCTGTGTTATTGTCTAAGACTAGTCTCATTATCCTATATCTAGTTCTCAGATTCATCTATTTTTAGAAATGGGGACTTATAGGTCAGTAAAATAGATGGCAAGGTTCTGTCCTCTATCAGACATTGTCTGTTGTGAGCTGAATGGCTACACAGGACCAATTATTTCTAAGATTTCCAGAGACATAGACTCCTCTCTTCAAGGCAGAACTTCTTGAGCAAGAAGAGGGGGAAGGTGAAAGGGAAAGGGAAAACGTTCTGTTTGGATTTCCATTTTCAGACTTTTATTTTGGAAAAAAATTACCTTACTCTAGATTTATTGAAAGGTGTCATATGCTTTAAATATATGGGGTAGGGAAGGGGTGGGGAGTGTATATATAATTTTGAAATATAAAACAATTGAAAAAATTCAAGGTATTCTTTGTCATGTGAGATCACATTTTTTTATGAATCTGTTTTTTCTTCAGATTTTCAAGATGAAGATAATAACTGATGCTGCACTGAGGAAGAAAACTAAAAGAATAGGAGACATAACCATTTTAAAGTCTGCAAAATAAGAAGAGACAGAGACAAGAATAATAATATTATTAGCAACATAAGCACTTTTTTTTTTTTTTTTTTTTTTTTTTCCGTGGGGTTTTGTGTTTTGTGGGGTTTTGTTTTTGTTGTGTTTTTTTTTTCCAAACTCCTGACTTTCTTCTTCTTAATTAATTCTAATATTGAGGAGCACAGATGGGAAAGAGCTGATACATGCACCAGAGTCCCCTGGGTAGGTGGAAATTCCAGATGGTGAAGGAGGAGTTGGAAGGTGTGGCTGGTATCCTGGAATACATGGGAAGAGAGCCCAGGAAGAATAAGACATTTGCAAAACAGAGAGGAACTCCAGCAACTACACTTAATTTCAGGGACTCCAGACAGTGAAAGAAGTGTCATCAGAAGTCCACCATTGTTTTGGTGTTTGCTAGCCTTGAATTACTTATTAAAAAAATTATTTTGAACATAAAACTGTAACAATAAATGGCAGCAAACCTTTAACCATAAATGCTGGTAATATAACCTGATTGCTATCAGTTATTAATTGTTTAACACCATATTTGAATTGTAGATGGGTTTGAACGTGTGAGGGTTGCATTAAAATTTTTTTTACACATTATTTGATAGCTTAAGTCTTTGGTGGGTACTGCTTTCTTGAGTTACTTGGTCGTCATCTTCTGGGACTGACCCAACAGTTTATTGCTGAGGTGGCGCAGGTGCTTCGAAAGGGGTTAAGCTCTCTGCTGCTTTTTTTCAGTTAACAGGAACTGTGGATGGCTTACGGGGGTACGCCTTGCATTCAGGGCTGCATCCTGTTCGGATGTGTTGCAGTTTAATCTGATGGGATGTTTCATAACTGGCTTTTTCCCTCACATTCCTCAAATCTTACAGTGGGAATATCAGGCTGCAGTGTTAGCAGGAGTAGTTTAGTAGAGCAAGTGATCTTGGCTTGATAGTCTCAGCTTCTGCTCGACCTGGGACCGTCAGCTTGGGAAACAGATCAAATACATCCCTGAAATCAGTCGTCAGCAGCAGTAGGGAGGCCTCAAGCGAGGAGATTGTTCACTCTGGTGCATAAACACATGGATGGAGTCCCTAGTGATGGGACCTGGTTCCCAAGTGAGTTTTAACCACCTGAATGTGTGGGATACATAATACGAGTGGCTAAAGTGTACCTCAGGCTCTGGCCATGTCCTTGTGACAAAGACCTTTGTGTTATAGGAAGCTGGAGGTGCATTTCCTTTGATACTTTCTGTGTTTAACCCCAAGTCCTTCCACTGCCTTTTTTATTTACAGTGTTCTGGGTGCCCCTCTTGTACCTCATGAAATCAAGAGTTACCAGGTCTTTTGTTTCCATTTCGCCAGTCTGTTCATAAAGGGTGTTTGGCAGGAGCTGAATGCTGCTGCTCCACTCTTTTTTTTTTTTTTTTTTTTTTTTTTTTGTAAAACACTGTTTTATGTCAGTGCTGCTGACTGAAGACTGCTGAAGACTAAGCAGTACAGTCAGGGATGGATTTATATCACAAATGTACCGATTTGTGTAGACCTTCTAGAATTTTCATTTCCTAGAGCAAAAATTTATTCTTGTCTGTAACAAGCTGAGAATTGGTGGGGAATATGCCTTAGTTCACACGTGTTTCACTCATCCGCAGCTGAACAGCCTAAACCAATATTTCCAAGAGGTGTGAATAGGAGTTTTCATTGCAATTACAAGCCTGCTCTGAGAGCTGTTAGTGGTGACGACAGCAGAATTCTTCAGAGCTAGAGCTGGCTGTGAATCTTGCCTGGGTCCAAAACCAGCCCTCCAGGGGATGAAGAGGACAAAACCAACAACAAAACGCCAGCTTGTCCGCCCCTACCTGCCCCTTCTCTTACAGTAAAGAAAAAAAAAAATTATGATGCTTCTTGAGAAACTTTATCTTTTCAGAAACAGACCTTTTGGGTGTTGTCTGGAGGCAGAGTCGTGCAGCGAGCTTGCCTATTCTGCCTGTGACACTTCCCATAAAAATGTCGTTTGGACTTTCAGGATCACTATGTGCTATGTGATACAGTCTCAAAAAATTGGGGGATTAAATGAGCACCATCAAATTTTTTTCAAATGAAAAAAACCTTTTGTGTTCAGGCTTTTGGATAAAATGTAAGCTTCTCTGGAAATGGTTTGATTCCTTTCCATTCTTCTACCTTAAACTTGCCAGGTTCAATGGGGCTTGAAGTTTTGAACTGAGATTTCTTTCATATCGCTGCTACCAGCTGGAGGAAAGGGTGGGTACCTGCGGGTACACAGATGGCCAGATTCATCCCATCTGTGGTTCTGCTGACTTTGCTGGTACCTCCAAACTTTTTTTTTTTTTTTTTCTTTTTTTTTCCTTCCCTGGTGCTACCAGTGGCAGAAGCAGCAGCAGCCCTTGAGCATGTGCCAGGTCACCACCATGGTGAGGAGCTTTGCACAGTTGTGTGAACCTGCGATACACACTGCTCTCATCCCCTGGAATCTCATCACTCCTTCCTCTCCTTGTGCCCTTCTCCCTCCTGTGACTTACTTGCACAGGCACCCTGGGTTTAGGCCCCTGTGTGCTTTTATTAGGTATTTCCGTTGCACGTTAAGTCTCAAAAAGTCTCACTTCATTAGAGAGGCAGGATCAAAATTCAAAATGCCATGGCTTTCTGACTGTGGCATCTCCACTTTCCAAGTGAAGAATTGTTTTGCCTCTATATCATCATTTTAACTGTAAGACAACCAAGTTGTCAGAATTTCAAAGCAAGTCAGCCTTGCCGCAAACAGATATAGTTGTGTGCATTAGCAAGTATTACTGTGTGGGTTTTTTTTCTAATTAATGAAGAGATTTTATGAGTGGAAAGCCAAATTGTGGATGTGTGTATTTGTATTGGGCTAATCCAGTGCCACTGGTGTAAGACTGGAAACGAGAGCGAGGATATTGCTGCAAGCACGTTTCCACAGAAAAAAAGCATCTGTAAGATTTTGTCAGGTTACCCAAAGTGTTATTGTTCAGCAGAACGCTTCACACACACTCACGTACACGTATCTATCCTCTATATTGCATATTTTAACATAATTAAATTGTTAACCTTCTGCTACTTCTAAATAACTCGTGTAAACAGGTAAATTTGCTATATAACCGTTTCCTATGTGCCTTAGCCAGCGAGCAGACATTATTTCCTACAAACAAGTCCTGTTTTATATGGTGAGAGAACATAAAACCTCATGGACTAACTTCTGTTTTAGTCAAAAAAAGGAAATCTTTTCTTACAAGCTGCTTCATTTCTGTAAAGCTGGATACATTTGAAAGTGTCGACGGTTATTCGGTTTAGCGGTTGAAATTCCCAAGCAGGTTTTTTTTTTGCACTGCTTATTATAAAGATTGCTACAAATCGCAGGAGAAAAGAATCCATCGCTGAATGGCAAATGTCGATTTTTCTTCACGTAGCTCTGCTAAGTACAAGAACAATACATTAAAAAAAAAAAAAAGAAGCAACAACAAACCCAAAGCCAAATCCATTATCTGATGGTGCTGTGCATCTTCATAGCTAAATGCTGACAAGCATGGAAACACCTGGGATACCTCATTTAGCTTAATGACAATCATACCTTCAGAACTGATAATAAATCTGCCAGATGAGACCACACAGCATCAGATGCACAGCGTAGGTCATCAAAACCAACACTGAGGGACTCTGGGACACGTTGTTGAGTCTTCTTGTGTGTCCCGTGTGCCCACGTCTGTGTGATCCTGTCAGACGAGGGTTGGTAAATCTTGAACGTTAAGCCAACAGCTTCATGGAGAGCAGGGTCGTGACAAGCAGCCTGCTAAGGGTTGTGCTGCAGAAATGAACTGTGGAAAAGTGTTCGATTTTACGGCAAGGCAGAGTGAATAGCCAGGAGCTTAAAGGTTCCAGTTACATACAGTCATATAAGCATCCTCTTGGGATACTCCTTGTGCCCTCTCTGCTTGTTGTATATTTTTTACAGCACCCAGAACAAGGGGGTGAAGCTCCCCCCTTGGTTTCTTTTCAGGAATTTTGAGCGAAGTGTGATTAAGAGGGAAAGCTGCAGCCTGTTCTACCTGCAAAGAGTAGAGTAAGGCCCACCTCGCCTCTGGTCCTGGGGCAGAGGGGGGACCAGCTCCTCCAGCACTCCCTGCTGCAACAGAGGGGCTGAGGCACAAGCCTCTGTGCAGTTTTTGGGGAGGGGAACCGGTCTCCCTTTCTTCTTCTATGGGAAGATGGTTCCATCCTTGCCTTTTTTCCATCATCTTCAGTAGGGAAATTGGTCGGCCTCATCTCTTCAACCCAGCTGCTTGGGGAA